TTGTCACCAAGAGGCTAGCTATTTTCAAATTATTAAGAATTATTGAGTCAAATTATTGAGTCAAAATGGATCAAAGACCTCAACATAAATCCAGCCACACTGAACCTCTTAGAAAATAAAGTGGGATATTCCCTTGAATGAATTGGTACAGGAGACCCCTTCCTGAACATAACACCAATAGCACAGACACTAAGAATGACAATTAATAAATGGGACCTCCTGAAACTAAGCAGCTTCTATAAGGCAAAGGACACAGTCAATGATACAAAACATCAGCCCACAGAATGGGAAAAGTTGACCAACCTCACATCTGACAGATGGCAGATCTCCAAAATATACAAAGAACTAAAGAAGCTAGTCACCAACACACCAAATAATCCAAAAAAAAGTGGGGTATAGAACTAAATAGAGAATTCTCAATAATTCTCAATAGTGGCATTCAAAATGGCCGAGACACACTTAAGTTTTCAACATCCTTAGCCACCAGGGAAATGCTAATCAAAAAACTCAGATATCATCTTATTCCATCTTACTCCTGTCAGAATGTCTAAAATCGAAAACACCAATGACAGTTTATGCCAGAGAGGATGTATAAAAAGGGGAACACTCCTCCACTGCTTGTGGGTATGCAAACTTGTATAGCCACTCTGGAAATGAGTATAATGGTTCCTTGGAAAAATGGGAATCAGTCTACCACAGGATACAGCAATTCCACTCTTAGGCATGTACCCAAAAGATACATATCTATGTATAAAAAGGCATCTGTTCAACTATGTTCATAGCAGCATTATTTGTAATAGCCAGAACCCGTAACCAACCTAGATGCCCTCAACTGAAGAATGGATAATGAAAATGTGGTACAACTACTCAGCAGAAAAAGAAAACAGTAGAGTCTTGAAATTGGCAGGCAAATGGATGGAACTAGAAGAAATCATCCTGAGTGAGGTAACCCAGTCACAAAAAGACAAGCATGGTATGTACTCACTCATATATGGATTTTAGACATAGGCAAAGGATCACCAGCCTACAATTGATATTGCCAGAGAAGCTAGGAAACAAGAAGGACCCTAAGAGAGTCATACGTGGTCCCCACAGAAGGGGAAAGGAGCAAGATCTCCAGAACAAATTGGGTACATGGGATGGGTGAGGGGAGCATGAGGTAGAAGAAAGAAAAGGGGAGGAGGGGAGAGGAGAAGAAGAGAAGGAGAGGAGAACATGAGGGTGCAGGAAAATTGAGTCAGGAGAAGTATAGAGGAGAGCAAGAGAAGAGATACCATAATAGAGGGAGCCATTATAGGTTTATAGAGAAAGCTGGCACTAGGGAAATATCCAGAGATCTACAAGGATGACCCAAACAAACAAGCTAAGCATTAATGGAGAGGCTACTTTAAATGTCCTTCTCTGATAATGAGATTGCCTACTACCTTATATGCCATCCTAGAACCTTCATCCAGGAGCTGATGGAAGCAGAAGCAGATACCCAGAGATTAAACACACTGAACGGGACTCCTGGAATCCAGTTGCAGAAAGGGAGAAGTGATGAGCAAAAGGGTCAAGAACAGGCTGGAGAAATACGCAGAAACAGCTGACCTGTACAAGGGGGAGTTCATAGACCCTAGACTGATAGCTGGGAAACCAGCACAAGACTGACCAAGAACCCCTGAATGTGGGTCTCAGTTCAGAGGCCTGGACAGTTTATGGAACCTCTGACATGGAACCAGGTTGTATCCCTGGTGCATGACAGGACTTCAAGATCCCATTCCCCATGGAGAGATACATCCTTAGCCTAGAGATAGGAGGAGCAAGGGCCTAAGCACTACTCTAAATGACTTTACAGATTTTGATGATTCCCCCCTGGAAGGCCTCACCCTCCCTGGGGAGTGGATGGATGATGAGATGGGGGGAACATTGGGAGGCATGGGATAATGGAAGGGAAAGGGAACTGGGATCCATATGTAAAATAAGAAAAAATGCTAATTTTTAAAAAAGAACTAGTCTAAGTACTGGAAAGATGACTACATAAGTCATCCATGTGCAATACCTGGCTCTCAGAGTTCCATCTCTGTGTCTACACACTAAACATGATGTGTCCATACACTACATACAAATTGAATAAAATAAAAAATTTAGAAAGAATTTAGAAAGAATCCATCCCAGACATGGCTAGAAGACCCAGATGATATTCTCTGAGACATGTCATTTTCTATGTTAAAGTATGTGTCCATCATCTTGTCATCTTGGTCAAGTGCAAACTCCTAAACTTGTTTTTTCTTTCTTTTTTTCTTGCAACCAAGACAGTGCAAAGCATGAGCTACCACAGTTGTTTATATTGTGAAAAAGAATACACAGAAATTACACAGCTTTTTCTGTCCTAAATGATTACTTATTTGGACCAACATTGCTACACAACACCAAGAAAGTCTGCTATTGGAAAAAAGTCATCAATTTTAAACAATAATAAATTAGAATGCCACAAAGGCAATCTAATTACAGATGTCAAAGCATCTCAGCTAACATTTCAAAGACAAAATCAAGTATGCACATCTTAAGATAGGTCATCCCTTGGCTTCTTTCTTCTATTCTTAGCTGAAAATATGTATATAATTTTCATGGTAATTATAATTAATATTTCATGGTCTTTAACTTGAATAGTAACATTAATTTTGATGAAAAATAAATGAAAAAATTGTTGAAAAAATATGAGTGGGGACATGTGGGAGAAAAAAAATACCATTAAATAAAGTAAAAACATAAGCATCCTGGGACCTGAGCCTGTACATTATAACCAAGATTACATATTAGGCATGAAACAGTAATCACAAGCCCTGCTTGATATGAGTATAGTATAAATATGCTATTACATGTAACAACAGTTATTATTGAGACATTATTCTTGTGAGATTGCATTAGAATATTTTACCATATTATGTAAAACGTGACTAGGCTAACAATACTCAAAATTAGAAAAATAACAATTAAATCCCAACCCTCCAGCATTTATAGAGTCCTATATTTCCCTCCATTAGAATTCTGGATTTGTTTTCAGTTCCAACAAATAATAACTTTTAGACTGTAGTAGACACTAAGTTTGTGATTTATTGCCCTCTCTTTCTTTCTCTGTGTAGCTGGTTCTCTCACATTTCCTCGTGGGTCTCATTTTCCAGGATCATTGTCATTTCTTCTCAGTTCTGAATTTTAATGTTATTAACTTGCCCCTTAAACTGTGGCCATGAGCAAAGAAAACAAATACCACCCAAATACTTTTGGTGCAATATATCTTGTCTTTAGATTGGTTAATGTGATTTCTTTCTGGTCTACTGAGTGAATTTGCATAATAATAAGCAATCAGTTAAAAAGTATCTTCCAATTCAGCTAGGCTTTCCAAGCATCTCTATGCACTATTCAAGACTTTAAATGCTTTTAAATCATTTTTGTTTGATATTATTATCAATAAAACTGTGAAATAGGTCAGTGATAAACTCATAAATCTAAGTTTCTCAGTGTTTCTACCTTATTAAGTTTTTAGATCCCTTCAACAAACGGAGAAATTGGTGGTTGTATAATTAACTAAGGTTTCACAGAAGGGATAGAAAGTTCTACCTTTTTTTTTTTTTTTTTTTTTTGGTATCTTTATACTTAAAACTCTCAGTGTTGAATTAGAAAAACTTTCACTTCCTGAAGATGGCTATGGTTATAATAGTCAGTGGAGTTCACAAACAGCTCCTGAGCTTGAATGAATTTATGAATGCCTAGAGCTCCATATCTTAAAATTCAGAATTATAATGATGACATTAACCTGTCCTATTTATATTCTTATAAATGTTTTGTGGTTATCTGGGCTTTTTAAAGGCCAGATACTGTAGAATGAAGAAAAAATGTGTCATATATTCTGTGCTTCAAATGTTACCAAGTAGAACACTACTTGTGCTGTGAGGTCTAACTTTGAAGCATTTATGCAGTTACCAGAGCACAAGTTCTTCCCTCAGGCAGAAGAGCTTAAGTGTCTTATAATGTTGAGTGACTCCCCTAAAAGAGGATAAACCAGCTCACCCTTGGGCAAGGAGGAGATTTAAAGAGAGCCGATTTCAGAAGCTTAGGGCCTTTGCAAATTATAAAATTAATCCAGGTTGAGTAGTTTTGCTTATAGGATCTATGTCAAAAGTCAGTTCTACAACTAGATGTTTAATATTTGGATGAATCAAGGACATCAACCAAAAAAAAAAAAAAAAAAAAAAAAAAAGAAAGAAAGAAAAAAAGAAAAGAAAAAAGAAAAAAGAATGTCATAAAATTCTCAGTTTTGGCTGAAATGCTGTACATTTGATGATGATAGTGTTTATCCTCTAATGACAGCTAGATATCCCCTCTGCAACACAACTTGATGAGCTGGACTAAGATATTAATTGATTTCAAAGATTAAAATGTTTTAAGTAATAACCTACATAGAGAAGTTGCAATGTACCTTAATATAAATTATCTAGAAACTAGATACTATGTCTGAAATAGGTTTTTGAATCCATTACAACTTCTGTACAGATTTAATCTACAAATTTCAACTTGGACACTGACACTCCGTAGTTCTCTGGCATCCCTAAAGCAAATTAGTGAGGAAGCCCCCAGGTCTCCAAAGCAAACCCAAGAATTAATATAAAATTTACTGCCCATTTACCTAGTCAATCTAGAGAAATGAGAAAGTGAATCTATTACTGTTCAAAATTATGAAGTGAGAATAAACGTTTCACTCTTGTACTTGGCAAATTCCCAGGGACTGATCCATAAGTAGATTACAGAAATGAAATTCATTAAATCAAACAATTCCTGTATCAAATAATATCCAGAACATTGAGATGTGTTTCACTTGGCTCTATTGCCTCTAACATAATGTTTTTTTGAACACACACTATGCATGATTATGAGTTTATTAGTAATGTGGATGTGTCCTTTGTCTTGACATTCAAGACCCATAATGTAAAAGCCATCTAATGATTGTAATGTCATTTTACCTTGCTTCCGTTTTCTCTTGCTTCTTGTTCCATCTTGAGGTCAGAGATCAGAAGGTTCTTGTACTTGCTTTTCCCATTGCTGCCTTGGTCATCTATCCTATATTCTGCAGTCAGCTGCCCAGAAAGGGGGCTGTCGCTCAGGTTCAGTGGCTGCTCTTCTTGCTCCAACCCAGTTTTTCCATCATTGCTGGAATCCCCAGTCTCCCTGCCATGAGCTCCTCCTGAAGCAACTGAGCTGTGCCCCAGAGTCTCATTGCCATTAAAGCTCTCTGCAGCAGAGTCATCTGTTGGGAAGAAAGATGTGAAGGTTAAGTAATATGCTAGATCATCTCCAACTAGTGTCAACTAAGTTCTAATATATGTGCAGCAATATGCCTCTGATTTTACTAATAAAAGTAATTTAACTATGTAGTAACCTTGCTTTGAAGCAGCAATTATTTTTAATCTAGTAAACACTAAAACACAAACATGATATCAAATAAAGAAAATAGTTCAATATCTAAAGCAATGTGTAAGAAAAGTCAATTTAACAAAAAGAATGAGATAATTACCAATAGTTTTGTATATTGATTTGACTCCTACATTAAGGATATCAAGACTTTAAGGCAATTCCCTAATACATGGAGGCTCTTATCCAGGTGGATACATTGATACATGCTTCCTGAGTTTTAAATATTAAGTAAAATATATTAAAACCACTCATAATCTTTGTCCCAGGAAGTATCGTTTAGGGACTTTTAAATGTAGATGGTTTAATCTTTGTGTGTAGTTTTGCTAAGTGAAATATACAGGTGTACCAGTATTGATATGAACAGCAAAACTATTCAGAAATGGCAAAGAATTACAAAAGTAGAAAAGTGGGTTAATAAGAGAAATAGAGTATTATGTACTTACTCATATTTCAGTTTAGTATATAGGGAGATATGGTTCATGAAGTATAGATGAAAAAAGCTAAGTAGGGTGGCTAATTTTATTTCAAAGTATAAAAGGAAAATACATAGATAAAACTTACATAAAACAATTACATTTTATTTTTCTTATGTCAGATTTACCATTGACTATGAAGGTTAACAGTGAACACAGTTGAAAAGCTGTTTCTTTAGATGGGTATTAGTGGATGTTAACTATAGCAATGTAAATGAATAAGAGGAATAAAATGCTGTTTACACACTTTTGGATGTTATGAAATATGCATTGTTTTGTAGGTTGTAATGGACCAATTCCATTCATGGAAAAATCATACTGAAACTCTAAAGCAGGCCTGTTTCTTTATTTGCCCGACAAATCTCTTTTTGGACTATGTGGGCTCTGCTTTCCGTGAGTTCATAAGTAAATAAAGGGATAGAAAAGGCAAACAGTTGTTATGCTACTCAGGGCAAGAAACAAATGACTCTGAGATTATGGGGGCATGAATCGAACCTCTAAAGAGAAAGAACATCTGAGAGGTGAACATGTTGGGAATCCTCCTTGCAGGGGGGTCAGCATGAGCAAAGTCATGGACAAAAGATCATTTAGGGCAAAGCAGATGTAAGAAATCACGGGGTTCGCTAAACACAGAGTGGAAAAGAGAAGAGTCATAGGAACTTCATGTCTTCTAGAGGGCTGGGCTCTCACTCAGAGCCAATAGGAACATTTTAGATCTGTTTGGGGGAATGACAGAACATTGACAGGATGATGACAGGATAACAGAAAAAAAAATCTGATGTTGTGGTTTTGTTTCATGAGATGTTATCTCTCTACAATAGTATACACCTGACTATAAAGAATATATATACAGGAATGTTCGAGAGACTGACTCAAATAATATGATGGTAGTAATAAGATGATAGCTATTTATTTGAGAAAACAAAACCAACATTTTAACAATGAATCATGTGCTATTTTAAAATACAGAATAAAAAGAAGTGATCTATAAAAATAATTTGGAAAAATGTGTGCTATTTTATTCTAATTGAAGCATTTGTGTTAATACACAATATTATTTTTTGCTGTTATTTCATGCAAAGAAAGTCTAATGGAGAGCACAATGAACATATTTAAATCTAATTGTTTTCACTTATGAACACGTGTTCTAACTTTTGTTCACTAGAATCCACTAACACTACACCACACATTCTCCGTGAGAAAGCTTTACTAATATAGGATAAATAACCTAAATGCATGTTATATTTTAAACAAAATCTATGCTAGCATAAAGCAAATAAAATTTCTATTATATATCTAAAAAATTAAACCCACTATCATGATATGCAGCTAACATACTGATAAGATTATTTATATATTAGGTTGGATGAGAATTCACATTTAGGAGAATATTTTACAAATAAATACATTTAATTATAATTCCCATATAAAACATGAGCAATGTGAGAAATATTCTTAGGTGAAGTAGTTCACTCCAGATGTTACCAAGATAATTAACCTCAATAGCTTTACACATTTGATTCCTAAGTAAATCAATGTGTAGTAAATCAATGTGTTTTAAAGAGGAAATCAGTAAACTGTTTATTTGTATAAGATATACTTACATATCTTATACTTTAAATGGTTAAAGGTAACATTTCAAGATAAAGATTTTTTTTAAATCACATTTGAAACAAATTGGTTAATGTATCCTCTACTTTGCCTCACACTCAACCATAGTAGCAAATCTTAAATTCTGCAGTTTATCCTAACCAACTCACAATACATTGTTTTCAGGGATTCCTCTGACTTCTTACCCAGTGCAGTTGGCTCCATCCACCTTGGCTGCTGATAACTGGCTGCTACACTGAGTGAAGACTGGTTTGATTTGTAGTGTGTGGTGAGGGGAGGGGCTTCAGGCTCTCAAATCAAGGCTGATGGTTTTTTTCTCGAGGATTATACCTAGGTATAAGTTAAGTCTGCAGAAAGCACAGCACTTGGAGCTTGTGTAGACAGGGTTGCTCAGGGTACCTAGCAACAGATGAGAATGTGGAATATGGTGACACAATAGTGTGGAATCCACTGACGTGGGGAAGGCAGGGAGATGTTTGGATTCAGTATATCCTTAGATGAGTTTTGATGAAGTGGATTTAGTGTGGTGGAGGCTTACATACATGCCTGTTATCTTTTCTCTAGTTCCTGTGGAAAGGTTGTAATACCAAGTGGAAGGCTATCCATCTTATTCTTTCTCCTTCTTTACTCTCCATTCCAATCATTAGGTAGTAAGGACCTAGAAATGCTATGGTTGCTTTAAACATTTCCATCAGTGTTTTACATGCAGGTCCTTTTAATGGAAATTCACTTTCATGGTTATCTTTCTCCCTGTGAAGCTGGCTAAACTCTAAAATTACCTACTGTGTACACATGTTACTGTAGGTATTGGACTATGAATTCATGAGTCTGTGTATATCAATGGTTGGTATATGTGTCTTTGAGTGTGCACACACGTGGGCGTGCACGAGGGTGCGTAGGTGCACATGCCTGCATGTGGGTTCACATGTGTGAACACTGCTGAAGCATGTGACTTTTAGTCACTCTCCATAGCCCTTTCATTGAGGCCTTTAGACCAGCTGCATTGAGAGAACAGGAAAATTGCATCTATACTTAAAGATCCGTACCTGGAAACTTACTCCTAAAATCTGGGTTGGATGCTTACAGCTCTAAGCAGCCTTTTCCTTTTTGTTTTTGTTTTTTTTTTATCCCTGAAAGCATTACATTTACTAACTTAGGATAGTGGTTTCAGATACATTTTTGAATTTTTTCATATATCTTGGTATAAAATAAACTTCAAATGCAAAATAAAATGTAGATAATCTTATTCCAAAAGACAGTACTTTTATAAGCACACAAAAAAAAAAATGTTTCAAAGTTCTTTCAGTAACTATCTGCAAAGTGAGATCTGGTGCAAGTACTCTTAACGTCTGTAGGTGTCTTATACAATCTCAGTGCCCTCAAAATGTAGACTCGTGTGTGCCTGATGGGACTAGACCTCACCTCTCACACCTGAAACCCCTGTGCTCTAGAGTGGGAGACAGGAGATTCTCACTCTCATCTTTCATTATGTTACACACCAGAATTTAAAGCCTGACTTCTGACATCCTGAACTTCTGAGACAGGATGTGTTTCTGTCAAAATGTATAATCCAGAACCTCACAGGCTAACAGGAGGAGCATGGGTTTGAAACCTGGCTACCAAATCAAACCTTGTTTAAAACAGTAAATAATAAGCTAAAAAATTTAAGCTAAAAACGTCTGTCACTTTTGTTTGCATTGTACAGTGTTCTTTGGATTATATACTATTTGACAGTATAACCTTGAGTGTGTACAGAAAAATGAAAACAAGGCTTGAAGTGAAAATATTCACAGCAAGGACAAATTTACTGTGGTAAATAAATGAAGGCATGACAAATCCTTAAAAGGTACAGAGCACTGGTTTTTAAACCATAAAATGGATATTATTGAGGGTGAGAAAGTAATGCCTTCAATTTTTAACTAAATTAATACTGCATAAGGTGGTCTTGTTGCTTTTGCTTGGTAACTCTTAATTCATTCTAAAAGTCAGGTTTAATTTAAGAAGACATTATAGAGAATGCATCGATATAAGGTTATGTCTTCAAAGCATGTAAGTAAACAATGATTAAACAATTAAGTTAATCCTTAGCTATCAACATATTACCAGGGACTAGTAAAGTGGCTCACTCGGTGTGAAAACTTGCTTATCTTCAGCACCCGCACAGTGGATCATAAATTTCTGTAACTCTAATTCCAGGGGAGCTAATGTGCTCATCTTGTTTCTGTGGACACTGCATACCTATGGTACATATACATATATGCTGGCAAATACTCATACATTTAAAAACTAAAATTAAACAAACTTAGTGGACAAGATATTCTATTGGGTGTGGTAAATCCAAAGGTAAACCATATAAAACTTTGATGTTAGGTGAAAGCAAGCCATCAAACCAAGAGTAAAAAATATCTGGTTCCTGAGAGTCCCATGCAATTAATACAGAGGTGTAATTAATATAAAAGTCATCTCCAGATGAATGGAAATCACAAATATACAAGGAAGTGCCAGTCACTATTGTTTAGGTACAATTTAAGTCAGGTAAAATAGGGACCATGGCATCAAGGTTTCAGGCAATGCCTGGTACAAGAGGGAGAGTTTGGAGAACAAAAGGCTCACACATATGCATAATGCTATTGGTTGAAGTTCATGCAAAACGGGACAGTCGCAAGCATCTCCAGAGGCATGCAATGAGCTAGGAGGAATTCATGTATTATACAATAGGGGTGTGGACTTCAAAGAACTATGGGAAATT